CTCCCTCTCTCTCTGACCCTCCCCTGCTCACACTGTTTCTCTCTCTCTCTCTCTCTCTCTCTCAAAAATAAATAAAACATTAAAATAAAATTTTTTTTTTAAAAGTAAGATCAGAGAGGAGTTTTGTAATGATGAGAGGAGAACAGAGCAGGGCTCTCTCATGGCCTCTTGGAGCCTGGCTGCCCCAGACTGCCACAGTTTAGACTTGTGACCTGGCATTCTGGACTCATGCAGCTGTGCTGGGGTTATTTCTGGTATGAAAAATCTGCAGTGAAAGCATCACTGGCTCCTCAGGGACCCAGAGGTAGAGATGACAGCCTGCAATCAATCATGTCATTACCGCCTGGCAAAACTTCCCAGAACAAAGCCACGAAGCCATGCCATTGGTCAGGGAAACAGAACAGGAGACCTCTGCTTTTCACACCCCGTAAACTGGCTGGAGTAACATGCACTGTAAGCAGTCCTCATCCTCCCAAGTCTCTTAAGGCCGTGACAGAGCTCTTAGTTCCGGCCGGAGGGACGTAGGGACCATAGATAAATGATATCAGTTATTAATGCAGTGTTTCCACAGTAATTCCCCCAGACTAGCATTTTACCTGCTGGAGGTGTGGCTTTGCTGTGGACACTGAGACGCACCACTTAATGCATATCGTATAGGGGACCGGCCACGAGTGGTGGCATCCTGGTGTTCAGATAAAAACATCTACAGCAAAGAACTGTGGCAAATCCAGGTACCAAGCCCACAGCTACAGGAGAGCATAGTGGGACTTCCAGGACCTTGCTGACCAGATGCTCAGAGTGGTAAATGAAACTAGGTTTGACTTTTGCAGTAGAGTAAAGGCTGGAATGATTAGGAAGGAAATTAGGAAATTTTTTTATTTTTTTTTTTTTATTATTTATTTTTGACAGATGGGGGAGAGAGAGAGAGACAGAGCGTGAACAGGGGAGGGGCAGAGAGAGACAGAAACACAGAATCTGAAGCAGGGTCTAGGCTCTGAGCTGTCAATAGAGAGGCCGACACAGGGCTTCAACTCGTGAACCACAACATCATGACCTGAGCCAAAGTTGGCCGCTTAACGAACTGAGCCACCCAGGCGCCCCAGGGAACTTTTTAAAACCCAGAATGTTAATTTAGTAGAAGGCAACAGTAAGAGTTTGGGAGAGCTGGTATAGTACCTTTTAATGTTACATGCCACATGTGATAGATGAGGTACCTCGAAGTAGGGGGCCCTGAAAGTCATGGCTAAACACAGGGAATTGTTTCTGGGTGATATTTTATGGGTCACACACCATGAACAGAACAATGAATGCCTCCCCCTTCATCTATTCAAGGTACCAACACCATACATGGAAAATGAGAAACTGACTGAAAACAACACTGTCGGGCAACTTACCTTGTATGAAGATTCTGTTCCAGTAGATTTTCCCGACTTGACTGCCCCCGAGAAACACCAGGTTGGACAGGATCAGCATGGAGGTGGAACAAGACGCAAAGGCAGCATGGAATCGACGGCGGGCTTGTGGGGAAAGGAAGTGAATCTGTGGGGAAAAGGCAGGTGGTGTCTCACTCCAGGGGCAGGAAAATAGTGCCGAGGTACCACGCAGTGTCTCTGGTACCAGCCCAGGATGCCGAGCCCAGAGCCTGAGTTGGGGCATGACTTAAGTAGCTCTCAAAACTTCTATTCCTGTGTCATGCTCACTCTGGTCTAAGAAGTGACACACCCCCAATTTGTAGCTTCCTACTACCAAATGGGCTTCCCCTGACATGCGTCACACAAGCACTGAAGCTAGTCAAGGTTTGGCTGGAATGTCTCCACACATCCTCTGCATGTGAACTACAGGTACAAGAATCATTTNCCTCAGACATTTCTGATAAGATGTATTTCTTTACCATTTGACCGTGTAACAAGCAATTAAGAATAGAAATTATTTACAATTCCACAATATATTTTCTGAATTTTCTCTTTTGAAGAGCATAAATTTATAAAGGTTTTTAACATTTTTTTTTCTAGGAGAGGGAGAGAGAGAGCAAGCGTGAGCAGGGGAGGGTCAGAGAGAGGGAGTCACAGACTGAAACAGGCTCCAGGCTCCGAGCTGGCAGTCAGCACAGAGCCCGACGCGGGGCTCGAACCCACGAACCGTGAGATCATGACCTAAGCGAAAGTCGGACGCTTAACTGACTAAGCCACCCAGGCGCCCCAAGAATCATTTAAACTGTGCTCCCTGATAACTGGCACAACTCCATGTAATGAGGTCAAGATCAGGGTGATGTTTTGGGCCAAGTAACTTGACTCTGGGAAGCCATCCTGTCAATCCGAGCCACTATGAGGAAGAATCCCATGGAGAGGGTGCAGGAGAATCAGCACAAGCCAACCTCATCCTGGAATCAGAGCTCAGGGTACACGCCCCACGGAGAGTAAGCCTGCAGCAGCTTCTGAGAGCGGCCGCTTGTCACAGCACCTGAGAGATGCAGGAAATGGAGAGGTGGTTTCCAGCAATGATGATGATAAAGAATTCTGCTCATCCAGCTGAGGTCTCCAATGCACTTTTTCCTTCCCTTTTAATATCTTCTTGGGGATTGCATAAAGTAAATAAAGCCTTTTTTTCTCAGTATTGACCATTCTGGTGGCCCTACTGAGTGAGATGGCAGTGCTGTGCCCGGAGTGTGTGAGCGCCATCGATACATCCACAGGGACTGTCCCTGGGGACCACAGATGCAGAATGAGAACGAGGCGCAGTACAGCAGCAAGGCCAAGGGCCCCAGGGTTTCTGATAAATACCTCAATCTAATCCAAAGACACAGAAAAAGAGAGAGCAAAGAGTCTAGAGATTGTTCCTGAAGATCTTCCTGAAACCCACATATTTCTGGGGTCACTTCCTGATTTCCGCTGTGCTCCAATTACAAATAGAAATCTAAATTAACCAAATTGCTAGTATGCAAAAAGGATTGAGCCAGAGGGTGTCTCCGGCAGGAGGCTTAGTTCTGGCAACCCCGCTATGGACCATCCGGGGCCACTGTGTAAGCCTTGATCACTGTCTTCTGGAAACCTAGAGAAGTCAATTTCTGACCCCTTCTCCCTTTCCTCTCCTGCCAGTCCCAGCTTCTGTTACATATGCTCAGATACAACTATTATCATCTATCACCCCATCCGTGGTATTCTCCAGCATCACCCTGGAACAGGGTTTTACTGCCACCATTATGTGAAAGTAAAGTGTGGCCTTCTCACAGATAGGTTGTGTAGTTGGCACGGAGTCATCTGCTTGGACATCATTGTTCTGGAAAGCTCTCAGATGATGCTGACATGTCCCCAAGTGAGAAGCTACCAAACAAGGTGACCCCTAGTCTCTCCCTTGTTCTAAGAGGCCACAAGCATGTATAGGGGATGCTGTCAAGTCAGACAAGAGTTAACGGCACATTATAAAAACTGGTGATGCGGGGCGCCTTGGGTGGCTCAGTCCATTAAGAGTCCAAATTCAGCTCAGGTCATGATCTCACAGTTTGTGGGTTTGAGCCCCGTGTCAGGCTCTGTGCTGACAGCTCAGAGCCTGGAGCCTGCTTCAGATTCTGTGTCTCCCTCTCTCTCTGCCCCTCCCCCACTCGCACTCTGTTTCTCTCTCTCTCAAAAATAAACATTAAAAACTTTTTAAAAAAAGTGGTGATGAAAGAAACATGGGGATGAAACGGGCTTGTAATTCAGCACTCTTCACCTCTAAGAATAGGGAGAATTTAATCTACTAGTTTCTACATTTGAGAGCATAAGATGTTTTCTGGGTATCACTGACTCAATTAGCAGTAACTAGGGAGGCAGGGGGACAGGAAGGAGGGAGATAGGGGGGGATTCAGAATGATAAATCAAGACAGTATAAATTACTATAACTGGCACACATATATTCAAATAATTCTCTCCAGGTACAAGACCACTGATAACCTGTTTCATTTCTAAGGGACCCAGTGAGTCAGATGTTCTGCCACTCCTATTCCAACCCCATCCATGTCCTCGAACCTTACATCCTGTTAGGGGATTTCAAAGGCCCCATGTAATCTTTTCCACATTAATGTCAATGACAGAGAATACACGTAGGTTGGTTAAGCTCAGAGCGGTTCTCTTCTTACAGGAAATGATTACAATTATTAAATAACCGACTGAGAGATACTGAGAGAGGAAAATGCTCTCTGCATTGGGCTTCTATGCAGGGCTGAGGAGCCAGATGACCTAGTGGGGCAAGGGCCAGGCTAGGAGGAGGCAGAGCTGAGGGGCCAAGGGCAGAGCAAGGGAGGAGATGGGGTGGAGAGTGAATGCTGGAGGCACAGGGCTCCTCTTTTCTACACCTGAGGCTCTGGTTCTAACGGATCTTCCTTTGCTCCTGTGATTATTCAGCTATATGATTCAATAAATTCCAATTTCTGCTTAGGGGGAGAAGAGTCAAAATAACAGCAAATATGAAGAAACCTCTGATCTCAGAGACAATGGAGGACATCTAAAATCTGAAATAATGGGGTACGATTCAATTTTTAGGAAGAGTTCATTTTGCAAAAAGCAAGCAAGAACGTTAAAGGAATAGGCTCTTAGAATCAATGCACTAGAAAGATATAAAGGAGGAATCAAGATGGTCATAGGCCTTATACCCCAGGGTGAGAGGTTGGGAGACAAAGTAGGTGATGATAAAGAAAATCCAAAAACCTGACTGAATTAATAGCCCCATCCTCTAAACTGACAAAATCAGCCTGACGGCCCACAAGCAGCAACTCGACTCAGCATCGCTTCTCTGCACTGTCAATCAGTGGGAGAGCAGAACGAGAGGCCACCAGGAACAGTAAAATAGAGCCTGTGCAGATAGCCCAGGATTAATAGCAAAGAGGGTGTGAGTCTCGGCTATAACCCATCTCTCCTCTTCAGTCCCTGGATACACTGCAGGAGGTGACAGTTTAGACCCTGGGGATCTCCCTCTACCTTGGGAACCATCTGGCCTCAGCCACTGGTTTACACTCCAGACCTAAGTTCCATACTTAAGGGTCCTACGAGAGAAAAAGTCACATGGGCAAGGCTGGAAAGGTATATATCCCCTTGGCCTGGCCAGCCCCACCAATAAATACGACTTACTGAATCTCTAGGGCCAGAGGGCCAACATTCCTACTTTAAACTCTTGATTTCTTTTACACACTCTCCTCTGATATTCTAGAGCAATTGTTCACATCTGGGATACAGACTATCTGTCCTGTGCAGAGGCCATGCCTCATATGTCATGGTGTAGGTACTGAAAAGCCTCCCTGGTAGGAGAAGTCACGTGATGGACTGTGAACCAAATGGGGAAATAAGCCAGTGAGGATCCATCAGCTATGAAAATAAGAACTGCCAACTTGGTCAGATAAGGCAATTTGATTTTAACGCAAATGTAACAGGATACAAAAAAGCTCTGGTCTGGTCATGGTCTCTTCCCAGAGGATAGATGAGACTATGGCAATCCAATATCCTGGCAGCAAAAAAATGGGAATAGCATGTCCCCCTCCCCACCCCACGGGATGGTTAGAACTTGCTGGCAGCTTTTGGTTGTCCCAAGGATAACAAAATTATGGCATTAGATGGGCAGGGCCCACGGATAGTAAACATACCGCAATGTGTGAGACAGAACTGTCCTGCCCAGAGTGTCAACATGGGTGCCATGTTTTCTTCTATGTTCCTTATAAGGCCAACTTCCCTCCTGGCCTATGGGGACACAGAACTTCCCTTCCTGCCTCATTAGGAGCGATGCCAAAAATTCACCCCCTTTCCCCTGGGGCACAGAGAAAGGCATCCCAGGGCAGGGAAAGTGCTCTTCACAGCATCCTAGTGTGAGGCTCCCCTAACCCACCCAGCACCCCCTGACATCAAACTTGAGAGGAGCCTCCTGTGCCAACCACAGAGCCAGTTCTGAGGCTCGTCTCCCTCACACCCCACAGACCCAGAGGAAAGAAGAACAGCCAGAAAGTACCGCTTCCTACCCTCGGTGACCAGTTCTCTCTCAGGGACTCTGGCTTCAGTAACAGGTTGAGATGGTTTCTCTCCATGTTAGCACTGATATAACCCACTCTTCAGCAGGTCCTGGACTTTGGGCCTGGAGACAGCAAGCCCCTCAGAACACCTAGAAGCACACACACCCAGGGTAGACCTCTAATTCCTCTGTGTGAGTTCAGGGTCTCCAACAGAAGAAACAAGAGGTGAGGTGTGAGAACGCTGTATAAAGACAGCGTGCTTTAAAATTTCCCTCAAAGCACTGCTTTAGACTTCCCTCTAAGACACTGACTTCCAAAGGCAAGGAACTAACCCAAACAAAATAAACCTTAGGGCAGAACTAAACTGTCAAACTAGTTTGTGTTTCCTCCTGTGAGGTGTCAGCTCCTGTGTTTATTCTTATCTCTGTGGAAACTCCTCTCTCTTTTCCAGGCAGCATCCTGGCCCTGGAAATCGCAGGACCTGGGCTGGGGCAAACAAGCTGGGTCCCGGGGTGGTGGTGGAATCTGGGTCAGAAGGTACTTTCAGAATGTCCACGAGGGTGGGAGG